ACAGTCGACCAAGGCCACCGGTTTGTGGGGGTCTGCAACAAATGTACCTAAGATTGGACCGCGCCGGCGAGTAGGGGGTTTGCTTTTGTTCTCGTCGGCGGGAGGCAGAGAGGCGGAGGAATCGCGACGGAGAATGGAACGGGGGTGGGTGATTGTTGCGGGTGGTGGGAGGTCTTCATCTGTGGTCTCGCCATCATCGGCTTCAAACAGGTCAGCAGGAGAATTGAGGTACAAGTCCAGGCATGTTGCATACTCTCATAGCCACTCGACTCCGATCCCTCGGGAATGGCGTCAGACTCGACGTGGTAAATGTTCGAATGGCCATAGTCCGACTCAGCGAACAACTCATCGGACTGGCGACGGCGGCTGCTGTAGTTCTCGTTGTCGTTCTCAATCATACGACGTAGTTGGGGATCGAGACTGTCTTGTTGCAGGAAATCACTTGGTATATCATCCTCTGTATGCGAGTCGCTATCCGACGAGGAATCGGAATCTTCTTCGAAATGCACACGCCTAGGCATGGACGTCTCTGCAGCCGCCTCGCTGGCGAAGTCAGTCTCGCCAAAGGTTTCCATGGCACTGTAGAGCTGATCCTCGTCAAAGAACGAGGCAGCGGAAAGAAGCATGTGATCTTCAAAAGTGTTGGTCCCGGTCAACTCGAGCTCAGACACGGTGGAAGTCTTAAAAACGTCGCCGACTTCGTGCTCGTCCTCTGACTCGACGATCAGCAGCTCTTCCATTATTTCAACATCCTGGTCTTCATCATCTCCGTCGCTGATATCGTCCACAGCAGCGTATACATCGTCCGAGCTCTCATCTGAGTCACTTTCATCGCTGCTTCTTTGACCGTCATAGCCATCATCGTCGGAAAGTCTCACCCTTTTCCGGCTTGTAGACTTAATGCCCGACTTATGGCCCTTGTCACGGCGACCATAAGACGGGCCACGAACAGCTGGCTGTTCCTTTTCATCATCAGCGTCCTCTTCCGATTCATTGGCATCGTCACTGAGAGCCTCGATAGATGAGACCGAGGAAACGCTGGAGATCGACGAGGTCGAAGCTCTTCGTCTATGGTCAGTGGTAAAGGAGCTGAGAGGGAGAGATTTGTTGGACCGCCGTGACGACGGGCTCGCAGCCTTGGGGTCCAGGTGCTTCATGATGTTGAGCGCACGGCTATCTCTGATAACACCTTTGGGTGATTTGTGGGGTTTAGTTTGCAACATTGTGTTAATAATAATAGAATTGTTTGTGTTTTATTGAGCGGGGCTCGTCCGATGGTAATTGTTGTATTGGGCTTTGGGTTTCAGCGGCCTGGGTGTTGACAAAGTTTGATATCCGTTATGGGCGGATCAATTGCGTCAGAGACTCCAAAAAACTGGAGGTTCGAGATTCGAGAACGGGAGGAGCAAGGAAGGTAAAGTTTCAACCGTCAATTCGTAAAATGTCGTTTCAGAAGAAGGAAGGTTGGTTCGTTATCGTAAATCGAGATTTGAGAGGAGGATAGGTAGATGTGATGACGGACGACAAGGGATCGGAGACGGGGGAGGAGGACGAAGACCTTTCGCTGACCACAAAAGCACCTCAAGTCCTCAACGGACGCCAAAAGTGCTTCCTCTGTGAATGTACTAAGGGGCAATTTCGACGCTTTCTCACAGTTTGCGTCGAAAGAGAAACAGATATCGTCAAGTCAAATTGGGAGTTACTCGGAGCTGCTGGACTGAGGAGCATAGGACATGCCCCCCAGTGAGTGATCTACAGCTCAACGAAAGCCATTCTGGCACTGAAACCTTGACGAAATCTGATATATGATGGGTTGAAGTATTTTGAAGGATTTAGAAAAATAGATGGTAAAAGCACGGTGTTGGTGGTTGGGAGAGAGATGAGGGTGAATTGGATGGGAAAGGGAAAAGAAGGATCATAGAAGAGGAGGCCATACTTAGGTAGGCACTGCTCGTACTGCTGGGCAGGGCGGGTAGTCTGGCTGTTACAGGCTTACAGCGCAAAACGGCCTCGGACGCAGAGACAGACTGCAGTGGACAGGTGCTGGGGCGGACCGATTTTTCCAACTGCAGTGGGGCTTTAATAACCAGTCTCAGCATTCTGTGTGTTGATTGGATACAAGCTTTACTTTAGTCAATGCTTATTGGTCGGCTGAAGCTCACCGCATTTTCCGCTCTTCTTTTTTTTACTCCTTTCTCATTTTTTTTGCCAGCAATTTTCTGATCATTCAAGAGCCAATCATTATTCAGAAACTACGAAAGCCTGAATGGAAGACGATGAAACACTCCAGTCAAGGAACAATACAACATTGTTGAATGGACAAATCCCTTGGTCCTTGACGTCAATATCGAGTCAAGATGAATAGGTCAAGACTTTTCTACTCATTAACTAGAGAACAATAGAAACCTGCTTGATCAGATACAGTCAAGAGACTGGTGTATGTGCAGAGCATGTGTAAGGCAGTCGGGTACCTTAGACTGCAGATGGCGTGAACATTTCAGAGAACATTCATGTCCGCGGTCAAGCGAAGAAATGACAGCAAAGAGGTGATAATCCTGAATCATAGTGCTCCCGTCCAATAGACCATCAGTCAACCATAGTTGGAGGGGGCTAACAGGTTCGGTGACTCATTTGATGATTCGAGACCGAATTTGATGGTCAAGTCATTATGACTATGACACACGACAGATATAGTATTGTAGGTTAGTTAGCACCTATTCTATTCTCCGCCAAGGTTGTAAAAGAATATGATCCAAAGAGAGGATGTATGCAATACCTAAAAGTCTGACACTCTAACCAACCGAGTTAATCGGGCAGTATTGGTTTTTCTGTTGCCAAGACACGATATATGTTTGAATTCTCAATTTACCCAAGCTGCTTACCACATCCCATGATACCACACAAATTGAAAGCATGCCTTCATATCATTCAAATTGCTAATCTAACACTATTTGATTAGAATAGCCTTACCTGTTACCCTCACACGGGACGGCAGAGCCAACAGTCCTAGATTAAGCCCAAGTACTCCGTACACAAGCAAAGAATGCAGATCCGCTCAGATTCTAACTCCTAAAGCTCCAAGCCTCTGACGATGATCATTGAGGAGGGGCTTTCAACAGAAGAAAGCAAATTCCATTGCCTGATACGGTGATACCTCATACCTCATACAGTAGATAGGTAGTACTAGATACTACCTACTAGTACTAGTAGTGAACGCCTCCCAAAGCCCAGGGTGCTAATTGATCTGTGTCCTATGCAAAACAGCATCATCAACCCCACCAAAAATTTCCTCTCGGATTCAGAAATGATCTATCAGATCTGACACTCTAGCTGAATCGTATGTTGCGTCGCATCTCATGCACCCTGGCAATTGTAAACGCCATAGATAAGTAAACATACCGACAATATTAATACGAGATTCTGCTTCGGCCGGCGGGCTTGCTAGTTGCTACCTACACCTACAGCCAAATACTATACAGACTTTGGAGTAAGGTACCTAGGTAGATACTGCCTGCAGACTTGCAGAGGTCCTCCACCGATGTGGTGGCCATTGGCCAAGCTACCGCGGGCCAACCATAGTCCATCATTTCCAGGTTCTCACGAAAATTTTCGATCTTGTGTCTCAATCTCCCTCAGGATTGATCTAGATAGATTATCATAGAGACTCTGTACCTAGGCAATTTGATATCACTGGAGTCCCTGAACTGATAGCTGTCCACTTCTTGCCGCTCTGCCTCATTTCCCAATAGTCCGGAAGACTCTCCTCCTCTATTCCCCACAGCGGTGGCAACGGCGGAAATGCAGAATGGGAAAGATGATCAGAGGCGGATTTGAGAATAATCTCCGCCGTCTTACAGATCGCAGCCTCGCAGGTCGGGTTTCAGGCATACCTTACCTTGCCGTTTCGACATGCATATTGCACCTTGGTACTATTGGTTCAAAAGAGCGGTAAAGGGACAGCTGCTGCAACTCAAGATATCAAACACATTTGCTGTATATGCAGTAGCAGTTGGCTTTACGAAATAGACATCGAATATGATTACCAAATTTACTAGAGCCAAATACCAATAATTACTGATACAGAGCAGTGATACTCCTTTCATTTGGTGTCTATTCTAGGTACACTCTATCCTCATCTAAAATATTCCGTAAATTACTTACAGTCCCCACACATCACGTGGAAAGATGAAAGATCACTCATGCCACTTGCTCCTTAACAGATGGCAGATATTACAAAGATTCACCAATTTAGACAACTCAAATACAGACAGGACCCTCAAATCCTTCTCCCCCCTGTTTATGTTATTACTAAGGTACCATGATGTTGCTGCTGTTATACTTAGAACCGGCGGATCTTACCCAAACTCCCTAACCCACTGGATCCTGCTTACACGCGATCGACAACAATCCACAACCTCTAATTGGCCAATAGGTCTGCTGCACCCCGCAGTAGCCAATTTTTCCATTCTGCCGCATCATGTGCAAAGCCAGGAATGGCATTCGCATGGCGGTAGCTTCCAAAATCTGGGCCCGTCCACAACGTTAGAGCCAACTTTAACCTTTGGGCTTCAGATATGTCAGAGTGATTTCAGTCTGAGGACATCGTTTTGTCTCTTGATGCAGGGATGAAGTCTGGTTATGGAGTACAGTGTCATTCAGGCAACGGTGGAGGAAACGAGGAACCGTTCGAGGAGCTAGATAGAGAGAGGAATGATTGCCACTCGGGTTCGGAACCCCCGTTTTACAAGCCGGTCCGATCCACTACCATGGCTCGTGATGTTCTATGGAACGTCCTAGTTCGTCACTAGTAGTAGTACTGAACAAGTGGCCAATTTCAACGTCTGATTCTTCATTGCAGCATTACCATTATTGCGTGACTCAATACTAAATGGATCATCCCGAAAAGTAACACGTTTCCAAAAAGTGGTATCGAAAGAGAAGCTGAAAAATGAATGATGAGGGACAGGAGTGGTAGGTTCCGGGAGGATACTGCTCAGTGCTCACGTCCCGGGATAAGGTTCAACTTTGGGTGTCGGCTTCGTCTGGGACCTTGACCACATAGATAAGATTGATTTTGACCTTGCTGGCTTCGGAGAAGTAGCAGTGCTTTCGTCCTGTCCTGTCTCAGCGGTAGCAGGGGCTGATTCTCCTGCTTGCTGTGCTTCTTTGACGCCTTCGCGGATTTCAGCGACAGATGCTCCAGGAGCCGCTGTCGTAATGAGCGTCTCAGTAGTACGTATCCTTCCTTCGGTGGATTCCTCGTTCAATCTGGTAATTTCCTCTTCTGTCACCAGACGCTCGTTCTCTAGGCGTACCTCACGGCCACGTTTATGGCAGTACCAGAGTACAAATAGGAGGACTGTGTGAAAGATTCGCCGTGAGTATGTCACAGGTAATGGTTAGCGCGAGATACTTACTGAACAAAGCCAAAGACCAGAGCACATTCATTCCCAGGACTGCTGGGAATCGCGCTCTCAAAAATGCCATAATGGACCGCAGCATGCCCACAATGGCGGCAGGTTTACCAACCAGCTCCTTCAAATTTGGCACCTTGAGGCCCATCTTATTAGCAGCTGCAGCCGCCTTGCCCACATTCTCAACATTGAGGCCGGTTCGGCTGGCCCTCTCGCTAGCCGCTGCGAGCATTTCTGGCGCCAATGTCTCGGTCCACCTCTCCGGGAGTTTCTCAATCAGCTTCTGAAGGAAGCCTGGGAGCTGCGAATATGTCTGCTGTAGCTGCTTATTGCCATTGCTAAGGAGCATCTCCAAGTCGTGGTAAGCGGTAGGTACACCATTCATGAGGTCCTTGAAGATGAGTTTAAATTTGCGCAGGAGCTCCTGGGTCTCATCACTGATCGAGAAGACGCGGTTGTTATCTGCAGCTAAGTTGAGGCGCTCCAAGATCTCCGTCATGTCATCAGTCTCTTGTTTCGCTTCGCTGTTGGCAGGATCGGAGGATCGAAGGGCCCGCGAGTCATTCAGATCTCCTGGTGCTGTCGCTTCTTTGTCCTAAAACGGAGTCAGGATGTGAGAATGCATCTTACAAGACTTCCAAACAAAGGAGTTCACAAAAATGGCGCCGTACCTTCTTCTTCCAGCTTGTGCCCCTCCTACGCAGCCAATTCCATGTTCCCTTCTGTTTGTCTGAAGGTGGAGTGCTCTCAACATGGGAAAGCTTCGAATCTGTACGGACGACTCCAGCATTGCTCGCTCTTCGCTCCTTTTCACCAAGCTCTTTGAACTCCTCGATCGGGGAAACTGGTAGGGGAATATTATGTGCCTCCGCGCTTGAGGTATCGGCAGGCGGTCGGACATTCTCATCACCGTTCAACGACAATGCAGCCTCTGCCTTTGTAGGTTGAGCAGTAATGGACTGTAGGAATTGCTCGTCTTCAGTTGTAAGGACTGGATCATGTGGCTTCTCAGCCTGCGAAGGGCGCCTCCAGTTCTGTAGATAACTAAAGCGCTGCATCTTGGTAGGTTAATGTCAGATGTTGTTTCGATGTTTCTCTCAAAAATCGAATTGTTTGAAGGAAAGAATGTACCGAACGCTCTTTAAATGGGTAAAGATGGCTGGACGAAAGGAGAGCATCGGCGGGACATTGCGTTGTCTTAACTTTCGAAAACAAGGTATCCCTGGCAAACTGCACAAAGGGGAGAAATATATAGTAGTCCAGAGTTAATTCGCCACAGCGATCAATATTCATTAAATGTAGAGTTCTCGGAGAAATACTTCTGACTTGTTAGTAGACAGGAGACCTAGCCATCAAATTTTCTTCTTGACTACAAGCCTGTTGATTCAGGAACTCGATTACCCTGTCAAGTGGCTTCCATGCGATGATATCATGCCCAAGGCATCCATGATCGATCATGTGAAAGACCCCGCATCAGCCACTCAGCTCTTGTCCTTTGCACAGCCACGATAGCCAGAATAATGGACCGAGAAGTGATTATAGGACCTGATTGGTCCTTAGCTGATCGCGGAGTATATCCAGCCACAGGCCCATGTTAATCGAGTTTCCCTTTGAGATAATATATCGGATTGTGATCACTTACATGTGAAAATCTCTCTAGCATACGCCTGGAGGGTGTCGTTTGAGCAATAATGCCCTGAAGCCATGTTGGTTGAACTGCATCTTCCATCCGGACTTGACCATAGGGCGATTCGGGTCCTTCTGTCACGACTACAGGGGTACTGTAGATCTCTACGCGGGATCCTGGACTGTCAGATCTACAGACCGCAGAGTTCTCAAATCTATCTAAAGGCCTCAACAAACATGTCTTGGGCAAAGGCAACGGTTCAAGAGTGCTGTGTGCGGCGTGCCTCCACATAAGACCGCGCTCGAGGTTCTTTGAGTCATGTTCGTTGAAAGTCCAGACTCAATACTGTCTGTAGTCATGCTTAAATAGATCAAGGTTGGATGGATGATTCCGAGCTCGTCTGCCTGATCTTGGTCTTAATTCTGATAGGCATCCCTGTCAGCTGCTAATCCCATCACATGATCTCGTAGCTGTCACTCGGCGCTTCCACTTGAACTTCATTTTCATGTTCTTCTCTCTTCCTCCTTTCCTCACGCTTCCCAGAGTCGGCTATCGTGCTACGCGGATCTGAACTGGATTCTCGTATGCCAAGCTTGTCTCGAGACTGTGTTCTTCTAGTATGGTCTTCTCAATGAAGACCCACAGCCACGAGAAGATACACTTCTTGGAACAGCTTCCAGGACTCCCCACATGCAGCTTGCATGATTCGGCAGCGTCGCTTCTTTTTATCGACAAGTTCGTCCAGTCTTTTCCATTGTGCTGGTTTCTTCTGTCGCTCTTTTGCATTATCACCTGGTTGTCTCTGGTGTCTTTTCTGCTGAAGTTGTTGGATAATAATGTTAGCACCATGACATCCAAACGTTCATTCGTTTCGCGTGATCGAGTGGAAAAGTCCTTCAAGTCATTCAGAAAGATGTACAAGGGACATTCGAAGGTGAAGAAGCAGGGGGGAGAGAGTCCAAAGAGCCAGTCCACAAAAGCGTGAGTGGTCTTTCGCGCTTTTGGCTTGCCATCCATCAGCTATATAAATAAGCCCTGTGATAGAGTGCAACTTCTCTCCGGAAGAATATGGCATCCTTGAAGCTGACACTGACCATTGAAAGGCAGTCCTCTCACGAGTCCTATAGTTACATTGATTGTGGGTCGGGATCGGCGATGCTTCGTAGCTCATGAGGATGTCCTATCCCGTTCCCCTTTCTTCCATCCTGTGCTAAAGGACCAGTTTGTAGGTGATAATATGGACAAGGTTCTAGGCTTGCCCGACGAGTGAGTTCAGAATTCCCATTTACCGTTCTCTTCAACTTACTGACGCACTGCCAGAGAGCCAGAAATTCTGTCCTGTGTCCTCGAGTTCCTGTACAAGGGCGACTACACCCCGCGCATCGTGCATGACAAAAGCCAAAGCTCATTCAAACTCGAAGGTTACCAGGACACCTCTAGTATCAACAGTCGCGAATCAAGCGCAGCGACAGTCTTTCTTTCCGCCATCAACGGTGTAGTCCTCCGGGACACTGCTGTGTACTGTGCGGCCGAGAGATACGGCTTGGAGACACTCAAAAGTCTTGCGCTTCGCAAGCAAGGACTTCAGAGGGGCGTCCCTATTGATGTGATCCTGCGATCCGCTCGGTATGCCTACGACAACACGCCGGAATCTGAGTCTCGACTGCGCGCTCATTACCTAGCGATGATCATTCGCGCCCGTCATATCTTCAAGAGCAGCGGGACCATGCAATTTGACATGGAGATGGGCCATAAATTTTACTTTGATTTGTTCGTTGCGATGTGCAACCATATGGATGATTTGGAGGGACTCGAGTAAGTTCTCCTCTGTGCACTTGTCACTTGAGAATTGACAAAATTTCCTCCGAAGACGGCAGTGATCGAGCGCTCAAAATCGTCTAATGGTACATCATCACGATGAATCAAATGAAACCATGTCCCAAAGCATTGAACAGCAAGTAACCTATTCAGATTGTGCCAATCTTGCAACCAGACTGAACATGTCGTTTCCCTCATGATCTGATTTTCACTCTTTGCTTCTACCGAGGTGGGCCCCTTCGTGGTTGAAGCAACCATTGGCTTTAACGCTATTTAATCTTACTGGCGTACCTTGTGGCTTGCTTTCTGTATTCAGATGTCACTCCTTGAAGGCTTCTCGTAGAAGCACTCCGCTCTTGCATGCATCTCTGTTGTTCAGATTGATTGGAGGATGTGAAGATGCTAGGTTATGTATGCGTCTAATCCCTTGACGCATTTAGCAGCTTGTTGATATGATGGGAGAATGATCCTTATCTAGGAATTGAGAGATTCGGCCACCTCATTTTGCGCCTGTTCCTCTAGAATGCTAGGCTAAGCGTTGTAACACCAGCAACTTCAAGGTCTGGATATTTCGTAATGAATGAATTGGGAGCATAAAGTAATATGTCGATTAATATTAATACATGGATGACTAGGTAGCTAGACCTGCATCATCAAACTTTTCATAAAGTAATGCTTACGTAGGAAACACCAGATAGAACCACTACATGCTGCGATATCCCACAAGTCGTCGAGCAACAATGCTCAGTGTGAAGTGCTCGAAAAGCATGAGCTCCAGCCTAAGTCGACTTCTTTCTGCGACCACGCTTGGGTTTCTCCTCAGCTGGCTCGGCCTCCGCATCACCGTCCTTACCTACGGACTTGCGCTGACGCTTCGCAGCCAGTTTCTCAGACGCCTTGGGTGCCTTCTCCTCAGCGGCAGCTTTGGAAACCCGGCCTCTTCTGGTAACGGTTGGCTTGGGCTGGACCTCCTCCTCGTCGGATTCCTGTTGCTGGTCGTCCTCGGAGTCGCTCTCTTGTTTGGCGCGGCTGCCCTTCTTGGCTTTTTTAGTCTTGGGCGCGGTAGCCTTCTCCTCGGCTTTGTCTTTGTCAGTCTGGGCACGGCCCCGTTTCTTCGATTTGGGAGTCTTTTCCTCTTTTTCGGATGCGGTCTCCGCCTGTCAGAGCCTTAGTGATATGCGTAGAATGGGGTTTTCGCGGAGTCAATACCTCTTCCTCGTCAGCCTTCTTCTTCTTTGGGGCACGCTTGCGAAAGCCCGTCATGCCCGGCCGATTCATTTCAGGATCCTAAAGCGTGTGTTAGTATAAACTCGATATCCATAGAATTAATGCAAAGACCTACCCCCTTCCAATCCTCATCGTCAACATGTCCCTGCTCCAGAGCCTTACGGACCTTCTCCTGATACCCCGAAGGAAGTTCCTCAAAGCCGTCAATGGCGTCGAGATCCTTCGAGTCACCGCTCGCTTCCTCAACGGCTTCGTTGAGGTGGGTGATGATCTTAGGCGTGACGCATCCCCTGGCCGCGTGTCAGTCTGATATTCCGAGCCTAAGAGGTAGGGATTAACTTACCAGTGTCTCCAGAAGAAGCTCTGGAATCTTTCGGTGTCGACCCAGGTGCCGAGACGGAGCTCGCCTTTGCCGATTTTGACCTTTTCATCTTTGCATTCTTTGTTCTGGCAGCCCGCTCGGCCGGTTGAGGCGGCGTCTGGTTGATGTTAGTGTATTTGTTTGATGCCCGAAGATGAAGAAAACTCGGAACTGAGATTGATGATCGAGTGGTAAGATAGACACATGAGTGGCTAAGGTAGATATGAAAATACTGGATTGATACAAGACTGACGAGGAGAATCACGACAATTATCCACACTTGCAGCTCTCTTGTGGACGGTTGACATATGACCGCCTCGGGCAATTCAAACCATGACATGAATACAGGCGATTGTTAACAGCATTGAAACAGAGAAACCATTGTTGAGGACTTCCAATTGATGAAGAAATAATTCACGGAGCGATTTGTAGATAGAGAAAAAGCTTACCCAAGCGATAAGTTCCCATATTTTATGGGCAGCAGACGACGACGCGGTCCGCGCGATGAGTAAACGACAGAATTTAGAGGATTACTTCTTCAAATCGAACAGAAACCCACAATAAACAAACAGAGTTATCGCAATTTCTCCCGAAGATCGGAGACACTGCCAGCAGCACCGATGGAACGGGAGCGAGAAGAACCGTGGAGCAGGAGAGGATGGAGACGAGATGAGAAAATGGAGAGAAGACGCTTTTCTTTGGATGGAAGACGAACGGAACACGCCAAAGACCAACACCGCAGTGTATACTCCCACGACACAACAACCTACGACCCAAATTAATGGTGCTTAATGGTGCTCTCTATTTGATTGTAACATAGGATAGCAGTTTGATTTCCTGAGAGCTTGATGAATCTCGCGAGCATGCATTTTCGGCGGCATGTAGTCAACAAGTGCTTAGCTACAGTGTAGGATAGACGATCTACTCAATGTGACAGCTGGCCCCTTTGCTCTGTCGTTCTTTCGTTTCAATTGCGTTCTACTCGAACTACTCGTTGTAATTACACATTTTTCGAGGTATATGTACTCCGAATGGCAGGCGACGAAACGTGAAATTGTCCTCCTTGTCGACATACCTCCATCAGCTGAGGTCAAGCGATGCCTTGGTCGAAATCAAGAGCATAGCAGTCTGAGTTACTGACTATCCTGGTGCCTAGGGCTTGCTTGATTCTCGAGTGGAAGCAGTTTTTCCCTGGCCCATTACTCTCATCGACCGAGAAGTACGTTGGATGTCAACACGGTCTCAGAAATTCACTGGAGCCGTGTTTCTCGAGAGTCACTGGCAGTGATTGCCGATTCGATATTCTCAAGATCAGTGACGTGCTTCCGCAGCATTACCACGGCTCCAAGACTAAGACGAGAAACAAATGGAGCTGCTGCGTGCTCCTCGTCAAGCTTATCGGTAGCCGAGGTGTTATTGTGATGCTCAATCATTCTAACGGCCGAGTCAATAGCCCGGCGTAAGAAATGCGGGCGACTAGAGGCATCGTCTTCCCGCTCAAATCTCAAATAGTTCCAAGTCACGACGTCTTCTAAGCCAGCGACTGGATGTTGAAGCGCATGCTTAATAAAGTTCCGTGTCATCAAGAATGCCTTTTCCGTGTACTGTGAGGACTCGACACGACGGTCGTCGTCCACAGCGAGGACGTCATAGCCGGCCTCATCTGTGAGATATTTGAGTGATTTTGAACTTCTAGAAATTTGAGGACATACTTACTGTAGAATGGATTCTTGACCAGCACAAGGCCCATGATGGAGACCAGTATCTGCAAGGCCGTGGACTTAATGGGCGACCAGCTTTCCTCCGGGTTCTTTGTTGGCCAAGTACCTAATATGCTAAGACAGATTCGACCGTCTTCATACAAGTTGGGATTGACCCTACCCAGCCCGTTGGTCCATGAGTGGAAGAAGGAAGCCGGAGGCTTGTTGGGATAATCCTCAGGGAATTGGAAATCAATCACAAACGGAGCATACTCGTATGGCGTGCCCTGTGGACCAATGATCAGAACTCGTAGGAGATCTATCCTAGATTCCCAGCTCCGAACATAGATACCAGGAGGCAGCGACGTCTCGAGAATTTCATATTCCTTCCGGATACGACTAATCCGCAACCCCGGTTTTCCAGGTGAGAATTTTGATATGAAGTGGTGATCAGAGGGAGGATCACTCTCCAGAACGGAAAAGCCTGGAGGGCACGTAGATGGTGAAGGACATGGCTGTGCAATAGATGCACCAGAATTATCATTGGCTTTGGATGCATCGATTTTTCCTTCCTGGTCCTCAACAATTTCACCAGTGATAGTGATCTCAGCTACTTTCGGGGCCGCAGATTCCTCCACGCTAATCACATGGCGCGAGTCGTCATCAAAGCCATCATCATCATCGAAATCGTCATCCGCCCCGGAAGCATCTTCTGTCAACCATTCTTCATCGTTGCTGTCGTCATCAAGTCGCTCACCACCTTCATATTCATATGTTCGATTGAGCACGAAGGGATTTGATGTCCAAGGGGGCAAGCCGGGCAAGCCAAGCATGTCAAGCGGTGGAAGGGGCAAGGGAGGCACATCGTAATCCTCATCAATCACCATGAGTATTCTCTCCAAAGGGACGCAAATATCACGACAAGTGTTGCGACCGACTTGTCGAACGGTAATATTGCCCTCGATGTCCACTGAGACGATCCTGCCAAGGAAGTCACAAGGAGACCGTCCGTTGTACTCATCGTGATGTACAACATAACGAGAAGGTAGAGGGGAAGAATCGATCGTGATTCCATCTTTGAATGCTTCCGACTTGAAGAGTGCCAACTTCATGGATTCAAGATACATGGACATCTCGAAGAAGTTCATGGGAAAGAGAAAGCTGTACAAGGAAGGCCCAGTGACCGCGGGCGGATCGCGTGGTGTTGGTGGAAAAACTGACCGATGGACCTTTTCTGGAACCAGGAGCACTAGGTCATCCAATGCTTTTCCTAACGCGGGATACAAGCTTAGTTCATAGACGGAGACTTGAGTAACGGTATCACCCAGTTCACCCAATCTGGAACCTGGTTTCAGCATGTTCCCCTTATGGAGCAATTCGATGTCTGGATCTTTATACCAGCGAACGGATGCTACTCTTTCTCCGCTGTCAACAGCTTGTACTACGCCAACCTTTGGGGCGCGATGCGACTCATGGCGGCAACAAGACGATCGGATAGTCTCGAGACTTTCGCTCAAGACAACAATATTTCCAGGCCAGACCTCATCATCACCACCACCATTGAACTTGTGCAAAGAGGTAGCGGCCTCGGTTGTGACACTCAAATCCTGCCACTGAACAGTCACCTCAGTTCGGGTGGATACCACGCGAAAAAGGTTTATGTCATAACCAAAGGACTGGTCTGGTGGTATGGGCTTGTAGTTGTACTTAGTTGCATCAGCTGGGTTGAGAAAGCGAACCCTATCTCCGGGGTCCACCTCAACCCACGTGTCCGATCTGACTGTCCTTTCATTCAGCCCCTCGGTGGGTAGCTTGCCGAAGTCGCACTTCATGGCTGTCCCTTGTAGCATTGTTGCTCGGATAACTTCACTATTATTCCCACCATATGGCGGCCCTGCAGCATAGACATTGGGGCAGAGCCATTCGACGTGAATATCCATGGCAGGAGTGGCTAGGACATGACCTTCTGGTTGTGACTTGGAGCCCGTTTCTGGAGACCAGTCTCCTCGACTCAAGTTCTTCGAGGATGTTAGGGTGAATTGTCCAGGAAAGACAAACTCGGATTCCACGGTCCAAAGGTAGTCGCCGTCGGGCAGAGGATATGACCTCATGGCATCCTGGTTGCTTGGCCATGATACAACGTTGTCGGTACCAACAGTGATAGGTATTTCCAAAGCAAAGGGATCCAGAGGTGACACAGCTTTCTGGTTTTGGAGAAGCACGACTGCATCGCGCTCAACCTCACGCACAACCCCCAACTTTTGTTCATAGACTATGTAGTCACCCTCGGTGAACTCCTCGTAATTCTGAAGCTCTGACAGAGGGACATTATGGAGCAGAGGGGGTGTCGATTCCTCATCTATGGATCCTGGAGAATTGCCACGTTTGATGGCCTTTTCGGCAAACTGCAGTGGTCCCTCTTCCCCTGTCATGGGGTCTGCCTTTCGATATGCAATGGGCTCAAGCGTACAGGTCACGGCAGCACCAATAACTGTACCACTAAGAGTGTCATCCAGATCTCGTTTGACAATCTCGCCAGTGCCTAATGCTCGATCAATAAGTTCAAGATCATCCTCGTGCAGAAGAGAGTTCCCTTGCGAGGGTTCCGAAAAGTTGACATAGACATAGCCTTTGGGTGGCTTCAAGAGATTAGCCTTTGAAACAAGTTGATCTCAACAAATAACATACGGCGCCAGTCTCTAGAAACTCGAACAAGTCTTTTTCAGGCACTGAAGAGTACGAGACTATCAGGACATCATCCAGAGGCTGATGGCTATCAATCTGCGAAGGGGAAATCCCTTTGTCAGCCAACAACAACCGAAGATATAAAGTAAAATGGGTGTGATATACATCGTGGTGAGTTCTCTACTCGAGATCGCGTTAGTTTGCTGGACATTCTACAGTTCCACTTTGGTCACTCACACTGACGATCCCCAACAGAGAGGGCTTTGATTTGAGACGACATAGGTCGTTAAGATCGAGCTAGTAGGCCTTTGTGAGTTCAAGAAGTCCTTTAACATAGAATATGACACTGATAGTGCTGCTGACCCTCCTATTGCTCGGGCTGGGAGCTTCAGTAGACGCTGCCCTAGAAGACATTGTAATGAGAGTGAGAGTGAGAGATCATGAAGATAAGAAGGGAATCGATGTGCGGGGGAATCAGCGAATGTCAAGTCTAAGCTAAGAATAAGAGCGGCATAAGGTGCGAAAACGGGAAGACTCCAAAGAATCAGGAAAGGTAAAAACAGAAAGCAGTAAGAATAAATGGTGAAATTGTACAAGGTAAACAGAAGAGACAGCGTTCTTTGAGATGGGGGAAACAATCAAACAATAATGGATACCTGAGGCTATCACATGCGCTAGTTGGCCTCAGGTTTCCGCAAGTAAATGCATCTACTTTCTGATTACTAGGACCGTTTACTCAGAGAGGTTGTGTTCTGGCCGTTGACTGCTACATCATATTGTTTGGCCAGGAACTTTTCGTCCTTTTAGTCATCTCCAGCAAATCCATATTCTACAGCTACACACCGAGTATAGAGAGGGGCATCTGAAGATTGGCGCGATCTACAGAGGATCTGAAAGCTGATAAGCGGACACAAAAGAGACATTCATCTCACCGCTCGGAAATCATCTGAAAGTCGATTGGCGACGAATTTCATCTCCTGCTCAAACGATCGTCTGATCTTGATCGCCTTAACATACAAAGATAATCTTTGAGTCTGTCTGCGGACAATTGAGTTTGCTTCCAGAACTTTAACGTCATCTTCCGCGCAAAAGTTCCAGTACCTGCAACTTACGTCAGAACTTGACCGGACTAGTCTGCGCGACGATTTCTCCCTCCAGCCCATCACTACCAAAATCACTCCCTTGCTTGAATTTTATCGATTTTACAATTCAATCATGTCAGAGCCAGGCCCCGAGTCTATCCCTACAAGCGCAGACCCGCGCAGCAAGAGACCTGTCAAACGTCGCGCAGTCACCCCGCTCAGCGAACAGGCATCGCAAATCGAGCATCTCTTCCGCGACCCAAACAAAGAAATCAGAATTCCCGACCCGTCGAAACAACGAACCTCAGCATCGCTCGCTCCCCCGCCAGAGATTGTTGCGAATGTCCAAGGTTCTTCGGCTGGTGCAGGCTCCGGCGAATTCCACGTCTACAAGGCGAGTCGCAGGAGGGAATACGAGCGTCTGCGCTTGATGCAGAGTGAGGTCGAAAAAGAGAAGGAGGATAAGGATTGGGAACAAAAGAGAGAAGAAGCGAGGCGGAAGGATGAGGAGAAGACTGAGAAGAACCGGAGGAGAAGAGAGAAGAGGAATGCGGCGAAGAAGAAGAGCAACAACAATAACAAAGACCAGGATGCTGCGGTCTCGAATAAAGGGCCTAATAAGATGGCAGTTGAACAGGCACTAAGGCGGACAGAGAATGGCCAAAAGGACGAGGAGGATCAGGCGATGCCCGTGGATGGGGCTGATCAGTCTACTGAAACACCAGGAGTGATCATTCACGAGGATTGAGCCTACAAGGCTGCTAGCTGGACAGGACCGACAATCGCCGAGAAACAATCCATACCAGGCGTGCGCTATGAAGATACCCATGTAATTTTAGTCTAGAAGGATATTCGTACAGTTTCACAGTTAAATCATGTAGCATTATGTACGCATTTTCATTCGAAGAATTGGGTCTCCTAATCATCTCCACCGGCCATGTGAGCACCACCTGCCTGCTGTGCAGACTTACCACTGCAGATGTCATCAACGCGGAGCAGAAGGCAGGCGGACTATGGAACGTTAGTCGGATACACTTTCGAATGGGAGATTTTCTAGGGCGTACCTCAACAGCCGTCTTGATGCTCTGGAGTTTGACCGCTTCGGGTTCCCAGACGCCATACTCCTTCATATCGACGAGGTTACCCGACTCACCGTCCAGACCCCAGGTGTGCTGACCCTCGACATGCTTAGCCCTCAAGCGTGTGAGGACACGGATGGGACTGGCACCAGCGTTCTGTGCTAATGTCCGGGGAATAACTTCCATAGCATCCGCCACAGCCTTGTAGGGCCACTGCTGAACACCTTCGATGGACTTTGCGAGCTGACTCAATCTGACTGACACCGCCATCTCGATCGCACCACCACCAGGGCACAAGCGTGGGTGGAAGATGACGTTTCTGGCAACGGACATGGCATCCTGCAGATTTCGTTCGATCTCGTTCAAGATGTCCTTGGAGGGACCACGCAGCAAAATTGTGCAGGCCTTTGGGTTCTGGCATTTTCTAAGAAATGTGAAGTATTCGTCACCAATCTTTTCGATCTCGAAAAGCCCGCATCTCGTTCCCACGTCGGACTCCTGCAGGTCATCAACACGGTTGACGATTGTGGCACCGGTGGCTCTCGCAATACGGTTGTTATCGGTCTTTCTTACACGGCGAATCGCTGTTACATTCGCCTTCACCAGGAAGTGCTGGGCAAGATCTGAGCAGAATTGTCAGTCGGTCGGTCATCGGCCGTAGTAGAGCAGTTGCAAAAGCCTTACCTGAAACACCCTTCTCGGTGAAAACAATATCGGGCTTCAGGGCCAGGATAGCATCACACATGTGCTTCACTTGTTCCTCCTCAATCTGAAGAATACGGTTCCAGTCATCCTCCTTGCTAATCTCAATGTTCGTCTGAGACTCTCCCTTCTTGTATTCCAGTGGGCAATCGAGCAGGATGATTCGAGGATTCTCTATCCTTCTCCGCATCTTAGGGTGAGTAATGTCCTTGTTGATCATCACACCGTCAATAACCTCGCTGTCTTCAATCTGTCCACCAGGAATCTTCTCAATACGAGCATAACGCTTGATGTCGACTTCCCTCTTTCCGCCACCAGCATCGAACGAAACAGTTCGAACCGCCTTCAACGCAAGGTTGCACATCAGTTCCGACCACCGCGAGACGAACTTGGTCCCGATGGACGACTGGATCAACGTGTACATCGCCTTATCATCGTCAATATCCACGGGTAGTGAGACTTCCTCCACGATGGCAAGTGCGTCCGCCAGAGCACGCTTAAAAGCCTGAATGATAACGACAGGGTGGATGTTGCGTTCGAGTTGAGGAAGGGCCTGGGCAAGCATTTCACCAGCTGAAGAATGTCAGTTACAGTTCCAAGTGAATGACCGACAGTAAAGAATACCTAAGATGATGACGGTCGTCGTTCCGTCTCCGACTTCCTCGTCCTGGGTGCGACTGAGCTCGATCATGCTCTTGGCTGCGGGGTGCGAGACCTCGATCTCTCTCAGAATAGCATGTCCATCGTTCGTCAGAACGATACCCCCCATGGGGTCCAGGAGCATCTTCAACATGGCCTTGGGTCCAAGACATGACCGGATGATGTCCGCAACGCTATACATGGTCCCTATTAGCATCGGAGTAGGTATACCGCGTCGAATGCCACACGTACGTCTTCGCAGCGGTAATATTCGAGAGCTGTGCCTTGCGGCCGACCTGCCTGTCACCAGCATTGGTGTCTAAGATGCACGCTTAGTGGTCTGAAATGAACGCGAGGTAGACGTGATTGAATAACATACTCATCACCACCACTGGGGCCTGCATATTAGCGGTGTTTTCGGGTTACTTCGGACGAGAGGGTTCGAGTAATGAAGGTCAATAGAGCGACAAATATCACTGTCCCAAAAACGATTTTAGAAGCGGCCGAACGATGGGCCTGGGTGAGCTCGAAGACGTGGAGTTGTGCCCGCACCACCATCAAATTTCCAGCGCACGGCGAAGTGGGATTGAAGCTCACCGCCCCCTAATCTACTTTGGGCTTAGTTCGTTAGCAGTTTCCCCTGAGCTATCAAACAAATCATCAATCGATCTTCGTATAGACTTAACAGGAGACTGAATCATTTTCAAGTTGACAATTTCTAAAGCAACGCCAATTAAAATACATGATGCTTCACACTTGTAAGATCCCCAAAAGGCACAATCAATATGCCTATATCATGATTATCAATGCCCCGCCAAATAACACCCAAAGCACCGAGTTTCATAGCCAAGTCCTCTAATGACACCAACTGGGATCATTATTGCCATGTTTCCAATAGTGAGCAGGGTTCAAGAAGGTAGCTTAGCATAATCGTGGATATCCAAATGAGTGCGGCAGCCTGATCAGGCAACGGAATATCTCTTGAAGAATCTGCTCATCCTCCCAATCTTCTTCTGAAGTCGACTTCGCATTCCCAAGATGATTAATGATCGTCTCCTGCGAAACTTGGGAACACTCGACTTTTCTTCCAAGGTCTGATCTCCGTACCAAGTTGTATATCTGGTGTGAGTCTGATCCTTATCATCCCGTCCCTCCGCGAAGTACTCCTGGATCGGAGATGACTCGTGCTCCATTTCGACACCTGCATCTGCAATCGTCTCCTCATGATGATACGTGAGGTCAGTTTCCAGGGTTCTGGAAGCGAATTGTGCCTGGTCGACTGTGTCGCCGGGTGTATGTTGCGCTTCTGCCGTAGCTTGTCTTTGATTTTCACACCGGCCCATCGGTTGAGGAAGTACATCTGGTGTCTCTCCAATTTGGTGACGTCCTGCTCTCTGCATTGACTGTCTCTCCACGAGTTGCGACACCACGCTCTCAAGCCATGCGTCTGCATGGTTGTTGCGATGATAAGCAACTGGACTGCGGAATTTGAAGTGAGGGTTCTCGTGCTGCAGACGTTCCAGGCGCTCCATGTGAAGCTCCCGCATTACCTGCTGGAGGTGATGTGGTAGGCAAGCCATGGCATGTTCATCAAGGTCGTAAACGACTTCTTCCTCGTCTTCGGTGTCGTAGCCAGCGTCCTGCGTTGTCTGTCCGTGGCTTTTCCACTGCATCGCGTTGTAGCTGTAGGTGTAGTTGTAGTTGAACTCAGTTTGGAGCCCGGGAGGAGCCAGAGGGATGTAGATTGGCATGATGAAAGGAGTATAGATATGTCTAAGACTGTGGAAGAGATGTGAGAAGATGCAGAGTATGCTTCAAGTGTGTCAAGTTGTTAAGTGATTTCAGATGAAGCTGTGTGCTGGGGGGTTTTATAGTCCCTAGGAATGTCCTCAGGCATCAGGCACAGTGAAGTACTTATTCTGTATGAGCATCAATATACCTTTCTATTCACTATTATGCTATTGTTCCACGGAACTTACCATTAAACAGAGGGGGGGATCAATCATAGTACATCAAATAGAAATAGGTCAAGTTATAGATTCACTCATTTCAATAAGTCATATTGTAGACCTTAACAAAGATATTTTCTGCGCAGAAAATGACTGAATGCCTATTTTATAAGCTCAGCATTGATATAACTTTTCTTGACTTGCATTTGTGAATGCATAGTTCAAGTAGGATTTAGTAGTAATAGCATATAGGTCAGATTCTACGACACCGCTACTCCCTTCACCAAGATTAATGACCATCTTGACAGAATTCAGTATTTCTAAGGAAGTTTCTAAGAATCAGGTATCTTCAACTGCCCAAGAATCTCGCATGACTAATTACATTAAATTATAGGACAATGTCTGATAATGTTCAGTTCATATCCACAAACCTCCAAATTACATCATAGATCAGTCTAGCAATATGTATAAAGACCATATGTCCAAAGCTGGTCTCTTTTGAGCCTGAGATCAATACTCTCTGCTTTCACCAATGTCACAAACATCGAAGACTCCCTCCTCGGGGATTGAATGCTTCTTCAACGCCTCCTTTAACCTCTTCGGAGGTTCCAGGACGTCCTCCTCGGTAAGCACCCATGTGCCCCAATGAATGGCCGCTGCTCGTTTACACTTCGTATCTCTGAATATTTCCACGGCATCATGAGGATCTGCATGCATCGGACTCATGAAGAAACGTGGCGCGTACGCTCCGATGGGGATCAAACCTAGGTCAAAAGGTCCTCTGAATTCGCCGACCTGCTTGAATGCGGGACACGAAGGGTAATTATACTCGGGGGCATGATCATCCACATCATCCGGAAGTTCAGGTACAGCACGGTATCCAGTATCTCTGAGCACGATATCCAAAGTCAGCCTTGAAAAAGATGCAGAGGTGTATCAGGGACCCTTGACATACCCAGCGAAGTAAACCTTGCGGCCTCCAGATTCGACGTACCATGACGACCACAATGTTTTCTGTCGGTCAAGGAGTCCTCTGGCACTAGCATGCTGGCATGGCAGGCAGCCGATACGCGCTTTGATATCCGCTGGTTTCGACGTGAGATCGCCCGTGGCTTCTTCAACCCTGGTGTCTGGCTTCGAGGGCGAAAGGACGACATCCCGCTCTTCCCACCAGTCCATCTCAGTCATATTCTCAATTCCCGATCTCGAAAACCATTCTTTGTTACCCAGAGGCGCAAAGAAATGGCAATTCGGATGACGTTTGGCAATCTCTTTCACTGTCGGGTACGACAGATGGTCGTAATGGTTATGGGAGATGACAACTGCATCGATGAAAGGGATGTCTTTGATCTGGCAAGGCATCTCCGTGTATCGTTTCGGTCCGAGCCAGGAGAAAGGCGAGCAACGGTCCTCAAAGACAGGGTCAAACAACACCCGCAGACCATCGGGAAACTCGACATAGTAGCAGGCATGGCCAAGCCATGTCGCCCTTAGATTCGACGTCTCTCGGCTGGGCAAAAATTCTGGTTTACGAACAGGAACAGTTGGAGGTGTAGTGTCAGGACGGTTGGCTTTCCCATTTATCTGGCGACTATAGGCGCGAGAAGAAAATGGTCAGATTTGGTCGAGAATGGAACTGTTTGGAGACCACTCACGAAAGGATATTAAAGATGTTCGTTGCTTTGATCGGTTTCCATGAACTGTGCAGGTTGTTTAGCACTGGAAGCGCCACTGACAGTGTGGTCTTTGACAAGTATTCTTACTCCCATGGGTTGGTGAATTCGCCTTGAAGATGATGGCTTTTCTTCTGCGCATCATCTGGCAAAGGTGAAGCAGGAGGCGTAGTGATAGTGATAGCATAGAGAATTGCCGCGGTGCTTGAACTCATATTTCGCTTCATCGTTGAGAAATTGTGGCCTTGATGCTGGCGAAAGCCAAATAAGCGTCGCAAGAATGATCGCATTTGCTAGCAAGCCTTCTCATGCGCAATCCTGGGCGCTCGCTTTCTCTAACCGACCCCTACTACGTTGCCGTAGTAGGGGTTGGTTATATCTATCCAACCGAGCCTGGGAACAGCTCATCAGGCGGATGGGCACAGGGGCAAGGCACGAATCAGAAACGAATCCAACTTTGAGATTGTTACACGGAGTACGAGCTGCGCCATCGGCTTTAGGCTGCTACGAATGACGACTTGACTGCAATAATCAATTGGAAACAAAGAGATGGATGTGAGCACTAAGCCCGTTATCTCCGAGCCGACGCGCCCCGTCACGAGGCTCGCGCAGCTCATCATTCTCAAAGGACTTAGGTGCGTTGATATAAGTCAAAGCTGGAGGCAGAGCATCTTTTCCCTTAAGGGGGGAAGGGGGGTGCGTAGGCATGTCTGGGCAGTCAAACTGCGTTTTTAGCAGACTTGCAGTTGAATCACTCCTATTTTCTTCATTAGAACCTTAGCTATTGATCTTGCCATATAAATTTATTGCTTACCACTCATACTGGATGTGGATTGGTTGAAATTTGGATGAGACTACTTTCTGTTGTGGTAGTCATTAGGTGGCGTTTACCAAAGGGGCTCGACTCGATTTGCCAAAAATCCAGTTCGAATTTTACCTGCTTGCAAAATCTTTTTTAATTGCGTAATGCTCTCCAGATCCCTATCACAACAAAGCAAAGAGCCAAACAAAGTATCCATAGATAGGTCTCACTGGTAACTTCTCCAAACCAAACAAGACAAACCCGGGGATACGGGCTTATCTCGGCCCGTCGTAGCTCCGATATCAGACGCTATGGATGTCTTTGAGAGGCGCAGCCACAAAGTATCCGGTAGGCGATTAACACGCTCATCTCCATAGACTGGGATGGAGACAAATGGAGCTCCGGATACTGCTGGGCTGCCCTCGCCTGGTGACCTAGTTCTGCAACAGAGAAAGGATGCCATCCAGGCGGCGGTTCAGCCAACCGGCGATGGCGGCCTTTTTTCTCAGCTCTCCAGTAACCCTTTCTTCACAGCGGTAAGATCGACAGCCCTGGAACTGTGAGTGCGATAAAGAGACTTCGGGAAACTGACGAAGTGAACATTGAGTGCAGGGATTCGGTCTTGCTGGTCTTGGAGCAGGATTGAGCTTAGCTCAGAAAGGCTTTCGACATGGTGCCGCCCTCCTTCGGCGTCGTATGCTCGTGGATGTCGAAATCAGTATCAAGGATGATTCTTATCCATGGTTTCTCCACTGGATGACCCTCTATCAACAATCGCAACTCAACGCCGCTCGCTCCGCAGCCAGCAGGTCTGGCTTCATGGAAACTATTCTTCAGAAACTGACGCCGGGAATGCGCCATCTCTCGATACAGACGCAAAAGGTCGAACATGCGAATGGCGCTATACATACACACTTTGCACTGGTCCCTGGACCAGGAAGGCATGTTTTACGTTACAAGAACGCGTTCATCTTCGTCAACCGGATGCGGGAGTCCAAGTCGCAGGATTTACAGACGGGGCGGCCATGGGAGACGATTACACTGACGACACTCTATTCACATCGGCACATTTTCGAAGATCTGTTCAAAGAGGCTCATGCATATGCGGCCAAGTCACACGAAGGCAAGACGTCTATCTACAACAGTTGGGGCACGGAATGGAGACTATTCGGACAACCGCGGAGAAAGCGTCCACTGGACTCGGTGATTCTTGACGAAGGTGTCAAGGAGCGGATTGTGGAGGACGTGAAGGACTTTGTTTCTAGTGCAAAGTGGTACCATGACCGTGGAATTCCCTACAGACGCGGCTATTTGCTCTATGGGCCACCTGGTACGGGAAAAAGCTCGTTCATCCAGGCATTAGCGGGAGAGTTGGACTATGACATTGCTATCTTGAACCTGAGCGAGCGGGGACTGACCGATGATCGATTGAATCACCTGCTCACTATTGTGCCGAACCGGACCCTTGTCCTATTGGAGGATGTGGATGCTGCTTTCTCGAATCGGCGTCAAACTGACTCGGACGGGTATCGCGGCGCCAATGTGACGTTCTCGGGCCTGCTAAATGCCTTGGATGGTGTTGCGAGTGCTGAGGAGCGTATCATCTTCCTCACAACAAATCATGTCGAGCGACTCGACGAAGCCTTGGTTCGACCCGGTCGGGTTGACATGACCGTCCGTCTAGGTGAAGTCACTCGCTACCAGGTCCACTGTTTATGGGATAGGTTCTATGGTGAACTCGACACAAATGGATCATATAGGCAGGCATTCCTCGACCGGCTACAGGAGTTAGGCCTCATAGAAGACGAAAAGGGTTTCAAAGCCGATCGGTCGAGAAGTACAAGTGCTGCTGCTCTGCAGGGCTTGTTTCTGTATAACAAGGGAAATATGGAGGGGGCAATTGCAATGGCCGAGGCACTCACACATACAGTGCATGATGCGGCCGAGGGTGACCGTTAGTATGTACATTATCATGACTTGTAAATATATTCGATTGATCTGTGAGCATGCATGTATCTAGACGGCGTCAATTCAAACCTTGCTTCTTTCTGCATAAGCAATCGGAAATGTGAATTCGATGTCGCTGGGGGGTGCGGGTGCAACAGCTAAGCACCCCAGATTGTCACTAACGCTGAAGCTTCTAGTTCTGCCACCCTCCCTGGGCTTGCACAGCCATCGTGATGACTAGGTAGTAACCGGGTGTATTCAAACTTTCCTATTACCTGAATGGTTCTTCAGCGATCATTTCCAAGGCAACTAACCAATCATGACAATCAGCACACAGTTGACCAGGATAGCCTCTCTGAGTAGTCGAACTGCTTTCAATGCTCCATCTTCTTCACGACCACGCGAGTACCAGACCAATGTGATGCCAGGTCCTTCGCATCTCACCGACATCGCCAAGCAGATTATCCTTTGTCGAAGCGCCGCGACAACAGTCACTCCAGGCACCCAGCCAATCACCCAGCCGGCGAGCTGGCATCCTAACCGCCGACCACAACAACCAAGATATTCTGCAGGATAATGCTGTTTCTTCACACTAGCCAGAGCCTCTCACATTTCAGACCCTTGACGCTCTCAGCATGATGGATTTTATGGCGTTCGTCCGTCCTGGAAAGTCTGGAGAGCGAGGGGTATATGTCATTGTTGATCCGCTCTTGTTTTCCCTGCAGGTCAATTCATTGCCGTTTTCCATGCTGATTTCAGGTCTTTTATTGAGCTAGAGGATCGTCTGATATCTTTCTGCGCTGAAATTGATGCTTTTGCCTGAGTACAGCGTGGAACGCGCCTTCAAAAATTGATTCACATCTACCGTTTCTGTTTCTATACCTGCGGTTTATCCCTCTGACTTGACTGGGCCTCAATTTCGATATCGCTCGGATTGAGAGATGAGCCAGTTCCAATTGTTTCCTCCACCTTCCCCTGTAGGTGGAGGCTCGAAGAATCCTTTTCGCAAAGGAATCAAGAAACCGGCTGCAAAGCCGCAGCCATCGAGTCCAATACCTTTGGAGGACCTCAAAGGCTCGCAGACAGAGGCAGTGCTTTTGCAGATTATAGAGGACACAAACAAGGTCCAGCCGCCTCCAAAGGCACATATCTCCCGACAAACACCAGTGTCGATACCGGAGACAATACGTGAACCCGAGTCTGATTCGCTGTATGATGCTAGTCCACAGATCGGGGCCGCAGAAAGAGAACGCTCGCCAACACCTAAGACCAAACCCTCATTACCACGAGGCCAGGCAGGCTCTCGTCAAAAGTCCCCGCAACCCTCTGAGCCTCCCGTGATTCCCATGAAATCGATATTCCCTCGTTACGATCCGAATTTCCCGCTTAGCCAACAGCAGTACTACCCTCAACCCTCGAGCAGTACGCATCGGACTCGCCACAATCCTCGAGGGCTGATTCTAACGCCAGAGCCGGAAATTGACCGTGCTCTAGGGCCCAAGACTGTCCCTGCAAGCGTATTGAACTTTCCGACGGATATGCTAGAGCCGCTTGAGGTACACTACTCCTCTGCAACGGAGCTGAAGGGTCTTTGGGAGGTTGCCAATGGACAAAGGCCGCAGAATCTTATGGGAACATTCAATCTGCGTATGCATAGGTGAGCAGTCTGCTAGATAGTATTCGGCTGAGCTAATGGGGCATAGGACTGATCATGCAACATTCACATTCGGAGATCCGCTGTCGCCATTTTACACGATGCAAACCTTCTCGACGGACGAGCTGTCTATTGCCAGAGCACACCCGATGAAACCAAACAGCAGTGTCTCCGTGATGATGCTGAAACTGGAGGATAGGAAGCGTCGGCTACCGCCAAACGACGAGCTGGTCACACTGTTGTTCTCCCGACTGGCTGCAATGCTGGCTATCGGCGAAGCAGAGGAACTAGCAAAGCAACACCAACTTTCTTCAACCGAGGCGAGCGAAGTGGAAGGCAACGCGTTGAAGCGAGCAGCCGCACAAGAGTCCTGCAGACTTCTCTGGAATAACGGGAAGCACCTCTACGAGCTTCAGCACCCATCACACTGCAAACAGCAACCGCCCGCCCTCGTCGGCGCAGCTGGCTTCGGTGCAGCGGGCATTCCCCTTTCTCCAGTGCGGTCGAAGTACGCGGGGATCCTCCACATCACAGTCTCGACTCCATCAAGCGACACCAAGTCCCGTCAGCCCCCAACGATCATCGTGACGACGCCTCTATCCTCCAACGCGATGGAGGCCGCCAACCAGGCCGCCACACCACGCACCTCTACCCTCCCGTTGACCGACTCGGACGAGCCGCTGGCGTCACTTGACCTAGGCACAATGACGCTATCGATCTGTGCGACAGCCATCATCAATACGATCCCGTCACTGTACGCTATCGACTCCCTGGTAGCGGCCATGCTGGCCGTGGCTGCTTCAGACGAGACGACCAATCCTGTTCTGGCGGATATGGCCTTGTATGACCCTAAGCAAGAATCGCATCACTTTTCTTCCCTCTCCAATCCCGCCGGCGGGGGCATGTTCACAGGAAAACTAGTAGCAACGCTCGCAGAACGCGAAGACGCCGAGGAGAGCAACCGGCTAATGTCCAAGATCAAATTGTCCAAGTCCGACACTCCCACCGACGGCAACGGCAAACGATCTTTTTGGTCATGGGGACGCTCAAAGACTGCAAAACCAAAAAGCAAAAACAAACAGATCATGATCGAGCAGCTCGATCTGGAAAAGTACGGACGGTACGGGTCTAGTTCTTCCAGGGAAGGCCAGAAGCTGCCCGGTCCGACGAGGGGTATCCTCCGGCTTTTGTTCTTTGGGTTGAATATGATTGTACAGACGCTTACAGTGTTGGTGGAGATTGTGGCTTGGTTGTTGGTGAGCGTTACTCGGTGCGTGACGAGTGAGAAGTTTTAGGTCTATGACATGATTGATGCTATATGCTGTTGATACCCTAGTACTCTTGTCGTTTTTGTCCGTACATATCGGATTGATTTTGCGCATGTTTTCAAGGTTCTACAGGAATATGATTCTACCTTGTTGGTGTCAATGGATCGCCAGCCTGACTTCATTCTCAACAAGTATAATTGCGATATGCATAGCAGATGGTGGTCTACATACCATCCTCTGCACCTGCCACAGCAAGCTATTAGGACCATACCATTGCCACAAGTGTACATGTACATCCTAGCCGTAGGAGTAGTGGGCTAGTAGCAGATGAAGAGAGCAGACATTCCACTCCACCCAAGAATGCAAATCATGCAACAGACCACCCATCCATTCCATACCACTGCACTAGATATGTATCAGAGACACACCATGGGAATTGATAACCATGATAGAAAATTCTCCGTCGGAATAGAGTTCCAAGGGGTCCTGTTCTTGTCTACCATAGCCTTGTATAGTCAGAGGACAGATATAATAAGGCCCCTTCACCAGCTCCACCTTTGCTACACCACACTTCCAAGATCTCAATTCAATCACAGAACAAAATCGTCGGATCCAACATGGTTCATACCACACCCACCCTGCTGGCCCTAACCGGTCTAGCTGCCACAGCTACAGCCTTCAAGTACACATCGATGGACCACATGAAGTGCGCTGTAAGACTCTCTCACCTTCATTTCCAGTTTCCACAAATAAGCCAGCTTGCTAACATTCACCGCGTCAAGGCTGCTGTAACCCAGGACACCAATTACCCAACCTGCACCTCATCCTCCAAGCTCGACTGCTTCTGCGCGGAGCCATTCGATCCGAGCAGCGTAAGCGATGCAGCAAGGGAGGTTTGCGAGGGCGTTGAGATCCGTACGTCCATTTCCTTTGCTCTGGTGTACGGATGAGAACTGACGGGATGAAGCAACGGAGTATATACCCAGTTTCATCTGCAGGAACGACGATAGCGATAGCGATAGCGATGACGGAGATGTGTATGGCCCCGACCATACCCACCACCATGCCGTCGCCTACAACGACGACAACGACGGTGATAGCGACAGCGAGAGTGACAAAGAACCCGTCTCCCCTCCACACCGCATCAGCCACCCCATGATGCGCGTCTCGGCCCCTGAGACCGATTCCTCAGACGTGGCTAAACACAACCCCAACGCCCAGAACAAGAGGGCGTATGCGCCCCAAGTTCAACCCACCACCACAGGACCGTCCCCATCCGCCTCCGCCCCGGCCAACCACGCCCCCGTCTCCGACGCCTCATCCACCCCCGACTCCACAAACGACTCAGAGAAGAACGCGGAGAACGAGAATGAGAGCACCCGCTCCGCCACCAGGGTCATCACGGAGGTCCGCACGCGCACATCCTGCGACTGCTCGTCTTCAACGGTAGCAGCTGCAACGGGCCGGGTGCAGAGTCCATCGGCGCACCTTCACCAGAGCGCGATGCCCGTTTCATCTTCGTCGGCGTCGAGTGCGCTGCATGGGCCTGCGTCTGGGTATGTGTCGGTGCCTGCGTCGGTGCCTACTGGCGTTGATGCGCAGCGGAGCGGGTATCCCAGTGGTCGGAAGACGATGTCTTCCTCTTTTGGGGTGCCTTCGGCTTCGCCCTCGGCGATGACGTTTGATGGGGGTGCGTCAGTGGGGGTGCTTGTGCCGAGTTCGGTGGTTGTGGTTGGGTTGACTGCTTTGATGGCGTTCTTCATGTGAGTTTGATCTCGGGGTAGAGGGGGAATCTTGTGGTTTTGATGATGGCGTGTGTTTTTTTTTTTTTTTTTTTTTTTTCTCCGATGCTGGAAGGTTGGATGATGATGATTATCAATGACATTTGATTAGATAGTCACGTAGGTAGACGACACGTTATGAATTAAGTACACGAATGCGATCGTCACACTTCTCCAGGACTCACTAGGCAAACTCGTTCATGGGTGAATCGCCTGCTGCACGCGAGGGTATACCTGTACCAGCCGATAGTACAAATCCGGATGATCGCGGATCATCACCTGCGGATCCCATGCCATGGCCACGAAGATCGTTTCGATCCCACTGCTGATGGGAGTCATGAAGATCTGACAGATCTGCAAGCCGATGACGAAGGCGAAGGCCATGATGACAGCCGTGAAGTTTCCACCGTCGTTGTAGCTCGGATGGGTGAATTGCAAATACAGATACGCCAGCAAGGCGCAGACGTATGAAACGAAGACCGAGCCCATGGTGATCACAGGCCCGATCAGACAATCGTTGACGAGCGCGTCGACGCCTCGGTCTCTCATCATGGTCCACGTTTCCTTTGCCGCGGGGATATATGCCTTCCCGTACAGGGCGATATGACAGAAAGCGTAGCGGTTGAACAGTGTGACCAGCCAGTCGAGGATGGAGATGAAGCATCCGAGAATCCAGAACATGATACTCCCCACCAGACTCCCCCCCGCAGCTTCGTTCCGCTGTGCGACAGAGCACGCCTGCCGCAGCATGTTGATGAACGCGATGATCAAACTTCCGAAACTGATACTGCCAAACGAGTACGTGGTTGCGCGCTTGAATGCGCCCCGCGTTGACCCCTTTGGCATGCCATTCGGCGACTGGCTCCAGAAGTACCAGGACCCGTAGACACCCGCAATGGTTGTATGGACAGTGTTCTTCAACCACTCGCTGAACCAATACATGGCGAACGTGACGTACACGACCAACCCGATGACTCGGGCCCTGCTACACCCGCCGTCGCGGCAGGAGGGGTTGGTGCCGGAGCTGCTCGGCTCGTATGCCACATATATCGAGACCAGGGTGACCGAAAACCACGCGGCGAATGCCACAGCCACGAGACCACCAATCGTGCTCACGATAAACATATGGCCGTACTTCCGTGACACGTCAATGGAAGTCTGGAGCATGAACGCGGTGAAAGGGATACGCGGGATCCAGCTGATGAAGCAGATGATCGCAAAGACGCCAAAGAGTAGGAACACGATTCCTCCGCCATACTGTTTTCGCGCGATATAGTAGATGCCAGTCGCCAGCGCAAACACGATATTGAGGATCCCAGTAACCCAGATAAACAGTTTCGAGAAGTAGCGCGCCCCGAGAAAGTACGCGTACGAAAGAGCAAGAGCCACACAAAGCACGAAAATGAACAGAACAAGAGTATTCGTATTGAGAGAAAAGTCGTTGGACGAGTCATAGATGCCGTCACCGTTGAAGCCTTTGTACTTGGCGTATCGATGGATGGTCACGCCAGAGACCGCGACATACCCCAGGAAGACGGCGATAAACTAGACGCCAGTCAATCAATGCCTCATCAAGTGAATTTGCAGTCACTTACGAGTAGACCCGCCCAGATATCGTTGTACTTGGGTCGTTCGATCTTGAACGCATCGTCAAAACCATAGACGGCCTGATTGTACGTTGGTGGTGGTTCTGCTGGCGGCTCTGCTGGTAGCTTGGGCTCAGGACCCCGCTGATAGTTTGAATCGTACCCGTTATTGTTCACATTATTGTTGTAGAGATAGGGCTGTTGCTGCTGATTTTGAATCCCCGGTTGGGGATCGCCATAAGACTGGCTGGGATTGTAGTAACTCGCAGCTTGCCCACTCATGCTGGCATACCTTCGAAGGAGGAGCGAGTAGTGGCTGAGGTGAAAGACACAGGAAATAAGGAAAAGGTCAATTCATGTCACACACAGTCACATGTAGCCAAGCCAAGCATGGAGACAGCAAGGGGGAACCAAGAATCCATGATGGGTTGACTCTCCGCATGCGGTCATCTTTGTGGTGATAAACTGGGTCCGATTGAGTTGTTCAAGAAGGATAGAGTTCGATCCATCCGATCGATTTGTGCTCCTGGATTTCCTATGCAGGTATTTCCCGGTTTGAGGGAACTGGGTTGGATTTCTGATGGATTCTTCTCTTTTATGCGCGTCATTGTTATGATGCTGATAGGGACGATCAGAACAAGCCAAGAAGCTCCAAGCGGGAATTTCCAGGATTTTCAGCCCTACAATTGAGGCCCACCATTCGATCAGCCTATCAGTACCCCTAAAATAAATGATTAGATGGTCTGGTGCAGTGGTTTTATTTCTGCCTGGTTCATGAACAAGTATGGTAGATAAAAGTATGTACAAGTAAACCGTCCCAGTAGACGAAGATGTGTATGTACAGAAGTCGCTCGCTAGCATTTCAAGTGTACCTAGCGAGCATCAACCAAAATGGTCGAGAGCACGAGAGGCTGACTTCGAAAGGTGATCCTGATAGAGAGAGCTGGCTGTGTCCCAAGATCTCACACAACCAAGAGATTACATGATAAACATTAATAGGGTAGAGCTCGAAACCTTAGTCGAACTCGTGGATTTGCCGAGGTTGGCCTTGCAGTCTGTCAACCGCACTGCTTCAATCATCTAAAGGCATGTTGCCTCATATGACGCCATGAATCGGCGACTTTGCGTTCAAACCCAGGAACAGGGGTCCGCGACCTTGTGGTCGGCCACTCATCCGTGGCAGCCTGGAGCTGACCCTTACTCATGGCCAGCGAACGCCTCAACTTCTCCTGTCGGACAGCCGCGCGTCGGGAGGCTCTCAACTCCTCTATGCGACCTTGTCCGACACGGTGTCGTCGTACAAAACAATCCTCCAGCAATGCGTTGGCGTCGAGCAGTTTCTTCGGCACGGTCTGCACTACCTGGAAGACTTCCATGGGATCGGATACGGCAAGAATATCCTTCTCGCAGGCCTTGAATATAGCTAGGGACACACGGAAGAACGTCTTGGAACCCTCAAAAAAGAACACATCCCAAACACGCAACGTCGTCTCCAGAGGCAAGCTGCCAATGAACAACGACATAAGCCAGTTGGTCAGGCCCAGGGTGATATCCGGAAGCCGAGAATCCACCGTCAGGGCCGGAGTCTTCGACCGGCCAGTGTTACCAGCGATCTTGTTGTAAATATGGGGTAAAGATTCCTTCAGCAAGACCATGAGGATCCAGAGGTCGATGTTGGCACCTTCGAGGCTAATCTCATGGGTACCCGGCAGATAGACGGACGTCACAACGTGCAGCATCCAGAACGCTTTTTCTTCCGGAAGAAAAAGCAGGAGCATACCGGTGATAAAGTTGAGCGATTGCGTGTAGCCCACTTTGGGATTGTGGAGAGAAAATGCATAGAGAACGCGACGGAGTGACTGGATCATCTGAGTCTCCACGGTGACCGAGCTGTACTTCGGGTTGCTGCTACCAGAGCTAGTACCTGAGTTCATAGCTTCGTCGACAAATTCGGGTTTGAAGTGAAGGTTATCAGGAAATGTCCGATGCAGGTCGCGCTCGATGTGCTCCTTGTCATCGTTGTTGGGAGAATCCATGGCTTCCTTGACGAGCCGGTCATAGAGTCCCGGGTTCCGGTTGAGGAGATCAAACCCCCCAGCATACCAGAACCAGGCGGCCCCGCGAAACTCAGATGGAATCCCTTTGCGGACGAACCGCTTCACCTTGGACGTTCTGGCAGGGAACACCGTGGGTTCGGACGTCGGCAGCCCGTTCTCCTTGAGCAATTCTGCCCATTTCAGTCTCCGGTTCGCCACAAACTCTGAATATGGACCATTCCAAGCTTCGTACTGTTCAAGGGTCACATAGTGCGTCTTCTTGCGGAATCCATAGCGATCCCGATGGTTTGTTCCCAGCAGAAGGGGAGGAGGTACAACGCCGGAAAGCAGTACTTTTGTCTCCGAACGATTGACGACCGGGGCTTCCTGGGTCTCTTTCTCATTCGAGAGCTCAACTGCGGGTTCTTCGTCATTGGTTTCTTTCAAAAGCTGCTCATCTTGGAGGTTCCGGTCCGCGGAAGTCAAGCCGGGAAGAGATGGGACCGGCGGCAGGTCATCCGAAGGAAGGAGGTCAGGAGAGTGCTCGTCGGAGCTATGTCCATCATCGTACGTCAATTCCGTCGGTGGGCGTGGGCTGATTGGCCTCATTTTGCTGTCGTCATTAAAGTTCGGTGAGGCTGGCTCTTCCGTCACATCGCTGAACCCATCCAAGTACATGGAAATCGCGTCTTCGACGCTCATCCCGCCGTCCTTTTCGTCCGGACCATCCGGAGTGTCCGGCGACAGGTCAGTTATGGAGCTGCTCTTCGTCAAGACACTGCTGCGTTCAGTTCCACTGGCTTGCTCAATGCTTGATCGCGACGTCATTGCCGAATTGACGCTGGAACGGAGCGCTTCGTCTCCATAGACGTCAGAAGATCCATTGGGCGTATACCGAGGCAACGCAAGTCCTCGGGACGGAGAGTCATTTGGATAGCGTTCGTGAGGCTGCTGTCCCCTCGGGCGCTTGCTATGCATCCTCGACGTCGACATGGAGATTCGCAGTCCGGGTCGGCCAGGAGGAGGACCCCTTCGGTAAGACGGACGCTGAAAGTCATCTGATGGCAGAGGGAGATTCGGGGAGGGCGAACGAGGGAAGGTGGGAGTGCGGTACGTTGGTCTTCTCAGGGCGTATTCCACGGTCCCTCCAACTTGAGGAGAGGCCGGACGGTGAAAGGGGTCATCAGGACGAGGATACGCAGGTGATTTTCGGGGAGGATGCGGAACCGGAGGTAAGAGAGGGGAGAGAGACCGAGGTGCGCCGCCGGCAGTAGAAGGTCGAGGATCGGGAGGATGGATTCTTAGGGGATCGAGGCGTAGATGAGGCGGAACTCTGCGACTCCTGGCGGTCTCACGTTCGCCTTGCCGAGAGGACCACTGAAACTCTCCATTTTCTGTGACCATGGCCACGAGAGAGAACCCAGTTCCCGTTGGACATTTGTCGATAACTGCGGTAATGGATGACGAATGGAGGTGCAATACCACGGTCGGAGAGTTACACGAATATGAGGATCGTTGGAGAGGAGGCCAAACGAGAGTCGTAACAGAAGATAACGAGTGTTTTGAAGAGGCAGCGCAAGGATAACAGATAGATAGATGGTGGGTGGTATTCCGTTGAGAGGTCGTAAAGCCCGAGCTACCGTTAATGGCGGGACGGGACAAGCAAATGAGTGTCAAAATATTGGAAGAAGAGACAAGAGGAACGAAGAGGCCCCAGCACCCACGCCAGATGATATCAGTCCATCGGACAAGAAAAAGCCACAGGATCCTACCAGAGGTTCAATTGGAGACTCAATCTCCAGGAGAGAACAGGATGAAGAAAAGAGCCCAGACTGGGGAGAGAGAATGGGTCGAGAAGAAAGAGGAAAAAAGGACGAAAGAGGCGAGTTGAGATGAAAGAAACGAGATCCGGTGCTTTTCTTAGTGACACTTAGTCTAAGGTACCACTCATAGTACGTACTTTGTAAGGCGGGTAGTCGACCAGTAGTAGCACTAGGTACTAGTAGTAGTGTTATGTTATGATTGCTGAGAATGAGATGATGCAGAAAAGGGGAAAAATGAGGCCAAACTGCCTTGTTTGGGTCTAGCGCTGTATCAATTCAATTGTTTTCCTCTTACTCCGCCAAACGCTGGAAGTATTTGGAGGAAAAAGAAAGGAAGCCTGTTTTTGGGGTCGTTTAGATTTGAGTCTTCGTTTCCGAGTAATGAACTGGAAGTCTTCTGGGCTGTTTCGAATTAACAAGAAATGACGATCGGATGATATCAACAAGTGGTATTCGGTCGGGCAGAGACTCCGTCCTTGTCTTGGTACTAGGAAGAGCAGTCTAAGGATACAGAGCACTTTATCTACTTTCCATTTAATCTAGTATCCATCATCCAGAGAAGATAGATAGACACACGTATGCTATCTAGGTCTGCAGGGGTTCTCTCTGTTATATCGATAAACCCATTCATATTCGATAATTTACCCCTCACCCCTGTCGTTCAGCAGTATGACAGATCCTGCATTCAGTAGTAGCTCATATGCAGGTGACAATGACAGACATCCACCTCTTGCGCTACAGGAACAGGACACTATAGCTGCAGATGCAAAGTATCCATGGGTTCGACCTTCGTTCCCTTCGTTCCGTTCCGTCTGAACTCTGGAGCAATAATAATGGATTGGAGGAGTCACATCCATGGATGCCATAGAGAGCTTCAAAAGTACCTGCCCTATCGTCATCCCATCCACATCCTATCTACATTCTACATCTTTACCAAGTACTCTAACTAACTGAGTTCCGACATGTACCAAGCCCAGACCGTGGGTAAACGGATGTGATGAACTGCGCGTTACGCCCGTTAATTATCTAGCCTCCTCCGGTATCTTGTTTTATTTGATTAAACCCGCGGGCCGTGGCAAAACCTAGTCTAGTCTAGTCTAGACCCTGGATTCGTTTTCTCGCGTTTCATCTTCCGCTAGAATGGGCGTTCTCCACCAAAGGGATTTTTCCAATGTTCTACTGCTACAGTAAAGTCCGAGGGAAGGAGTCATTATTATTATTGATCATCTCACATCGAATATAGATATAGTACATACTCCGTGGAAATTGATCCGCTCGCCTTGAATGACCAATTCCAGGCTTTCCAGCGCCGAAATGTGACGTATCCCTACGTCGGGCTACGGCTGCTCCCGTTGACCAGCTCCAGTTGATCCTCTCCTGTAGGCTGTAGCACACTATCAATTCATCATTAGAGAGGTACAGAGTATTGACCAGAGGGGTTGAAACTGGAGACCAAGCTAGAGGCACAAGCCCTTCTATGCCCCCTTGAAACCACTTGTTCTCTGTGTAGAGCAATCGAAACAATGGCAATACTCACTCATGCAACCGCCAACTGAGTCATGCATTCAAGTCAGCAATGACAACAGCTGGAGGCAATGTACCATCTGCTTGTCGGCGATAATACGTTGGTTAGGAATTGGTCCTGACTTTGGGCGTTACGCTACGCAGACACTAAGGTACATGCGTAGAAATTAGGCGCTTCTTTCTGCCTGGTCATCTTTGACTGCCTTCTGCATTCTGCATTCTCTAATGCTGGAGTATCTAAAAAATATGAATTGCACTCTTCACACGCTTGTGCGAATCATAAGAGCGCCGGCATTCGACGCAGGGATATTGTAAGTCCGCTCGGGTGGTCTCCCAGACCGAGAAAGATGGTAGAGAGGTGAGAAGCGAAAGGTGACAAGGGTCCCTCGAGCCCGACCGTACAATTCCAGTAAGAAGACAACCGCAGTCGAGATACCAGGGTTCGAGGCACGCAGACGACAGGACACCGAGTCTCTCAGATTTCACCTTCCAAGACATGCAATAGGACGCTGAGGTTCTTCCACGTCCCTGATTCTCGCGCAACGGCTGCGTACCAGCCATCGCTTCGTCGGATCACGCCTTTATTCCGACGCATACTTCCTCGTCCACTCCCGGGCAATCTCCTCGTACCGCTTGGGGTCGTTCTTGTACTGCTCCGCGATCCGCCCTTCAACCGCATCGTCCGGCATGGGCTCTTTGAGCAACTGCCGCGCGAACTCCAGCACAGCCGAGATCCGCGAGCTGGGTTTCCATTCGTCGGGCCGCAGCATGCCTAGACACATACTCCCCTTGTCGTCATTGGTGACATTCGGATGGTAGATCTTCGTCGCGAACGACACTGTCGGCGGTTTGAAGGGATACTCGGTGGGAAGGACGAGCTTGACTTGGAATTTTCCTTTCTGTGGTTTTGTCGACGACGATTAGCGCTGCATCTTGACAATGCGCGATATTCATAGCTGGGATTGGGTGAGAGATTAGGACGCGTAGCAGCTTACATGGTACGGTGAGCCTTCTGGTCCCTCCATGTAGACTTTCCATTCATACAGGTTCGACTCATCCACCAGCTCTACGGTGATGCCGGCGGGAGGAGACTCCGTAAGCTCGGCAAGCTCCTGCAGCGCGTTAGTCCCGTCAGCAGGCCAGTAGAACCATGCGAAAATTCGGGGGTGACCTAATCAACAGTGACCTACCTTAGCTATCCGCTTCTGGCTACCCATGTTCGCGACTCTTCACCGAGACTGGGGCACGCTGGAGTGGATGAAGCCGGCGGAATGTTCTCGGGTATAATGGAGACACGGTAGAAGACTAAAGCTGGCGTGAGGATCCCGTCCCTATTTGTAGATAGCAAAGATGAGTACCCAGGCAGAAGCTGCTCGTGATATGTGTAAGAGCTCCTGAGCTCCGACTAAGCTCGCAAGGCGGGGCCGTGACGGGTAAGCGGGGTGGAGCACAGCATCTGCGTTCATCACGTCAGTTCCGGATAGTAGGCGGTGGATCGTTTGTAACTTCGCCAGTATATTTCTTCTAATTATCCTTTATTTGAGGAGCCATGCCTGAGCGAATCGCTTGACAAGGCGAAAACCTACAGCAATTTACGTTGCGGGCTACGGATGCATTCCGAAGTAGATGATCTAGTCTCATATCGCTTGCTTCCAATCCCGGGTTGCCAACCCCTGCCCACTCATCACAGAAATCCCGGCACTAAAGCCGTTACAATGGCAGCAGCTTGTAGTCGCTAGTCCCATACTTTCAGATGGGAGATATCAACGCAGGAGTCCAGCTGGAGCCGTAGTTCAGCCGAGAACCACCTTGGTAATGTAGATGCCAATTGATTGAATAGACCTCTCAACATAAACTATTGTTCCCGTTGCAGTATGACCATCAAACCCATAATACCAAGCAAGACCGTCTTGAGCCACGGATGCTCACTGAGCATAATAGTCACATATCCCACCATGGGCATATATCCCCGCACGCTGCCAACAATATCCTCCTCGCGGTGTAGAAAGTCCTGGTTTTTCGCATACAGCTCGGTATCATCGGCAATGTTGTTGTCTCCCTTGGTGAGAAGCATGTTGGGAGGAACGGAGGAGGTCCTATGACAGATTCGCCGTCGTCAGTACTTGCTCGCTGCAGATCGGAGTGGATCACCAAAACGCACCCCGTAATCTCCTTGACCTTCTTCGCTTTGCCTTCGATTTCAGGGAATGTTCTAACGACGCGATGCACGATCGGGATATCCTTGCCCCGGACGTTGTAGACCACGATTTCACCTAGTTCTGCCCGCGGGCTGCGATTCCACAAGAATAACAGGTCGCCTCTCTGGAAGGCTGGCTCCATGGACCCGGAGAGCACGACGACAATGGGTGACGAGCTCGCTCTGTAGATGTTTGAACTGAAGGTTAGTCTATTGAAAGCTGTCCTTCCGAGACTGGTACTGACGTGAACACGGAGAGGCCTTTCCACATCATAAACGCTGTGGACAGAACCAGCGCGAAATTGAGGACTTGCGCCAGAGATTGACGCGTGCTAGACAGATTTGACGATAAAAACGACAACATAGTGACGGTTGTCTATGACCTGAGGGAAGGATGAGCGGCGAAGGAGGCTTCGGAGATGCTGCGGTCAAAACTAGGTAGCTCAGTGTTAAATGCCGCGGGATGTCAGTGAGAAATTAAAATGATCGTGAAAGCTCAGAGACTATCGTCAAGCACAATAGGTTACTGACATCGATCGTTGACAGTTGCTCAACTGGTATTGCAAAGGGAAAAGCGAACAACCCGTAAATGATTGTCTGAGCTAAAGGCCATGTGGTTCGAAGCTACTACCTTGGCTTTGCGGGAGATCGAACAACTACTTGTTATCGATAAACAGGCCTACAGCCACTTCTCAGGTTGGTTAAAACCTCACCATCAATCGATTTTCCATCAGCGTCAGTTGAAACAAATGGGTCGGTATCTTCTGTTCTAGCTAAATTAAAAATTGTGTTTCGATACTTCCAACTTGCGAGTTGTAGGATGCTTGGAACAAACTGTGAAAGAATGCGACCTATATATTCTAGCGAAAAATAGTCTATATAAACAGGTGACCTGACACATGAGAGAATACATAGAACGAAAGTGCAACACATTACACAAAAAGATATTACAAAAAGAGAGACGAGGAAGATTGTGTGAAACAGGTAAAGAGAAGAGAGAGCGAAAGGCTCAAACTTGAGCAGGGGACGATGGCTTGCTAGTGCCTGCTTTCTGGTTCGCATCGAGAACTTCCCAGTATCTCTCCTTCCTTCCTTTGTTTGTGATGAGGCCGACCAAGTCAAAAGGATCAAGGAGGGTCAGTAGGAAGGGTCGACCGTCTTCGAAACCCGGGCCTTCAATCTCTGTGACACCATCCTTTGCAAGGTAGATCTTGTTCGAGCGTGGGAGCCATCGCATGGGATGGAAGACATTGAGTAATGTGGTGTTCGTGAACATGACGGCTGCCTCGAAAACCCAGAAGAACCATTCGTCTTTCAGAATGGGACTCAAATCTGAGACGTTATGAATGTTGAGACTCGCAGCTGTGAAGTACTCGACTGTTCTGTATATAGTTCGCACCGTGATAAGTGTACAGCTGCAATATAGAACATACAAGGCACGTTTGACCTTGCTGTTTAAGACACCTGCACGGCGACAATTGAGGTAGAATTTGCTTGCAAGGGCGACAAATCCCACCATCAAGGCAATCTGCAAAATCAGTGCAGCCTTAAGTAGCGCTTTGCCAGTATTCTGCTTGCTGATAGTATTGTCTGTATTGGCCACCAGAACAGCCCCATTCGCTGTAATCGACTCAATCACAACACCCATGGCAACAAAGGTTGTGAATACTCGGCCAGGATGAATTGGCGAATGGTAGGGGATATAGTAAAGAATGCGACCCAGAGTGAAGAAGTTGGCTCCTTCGTAGACAGGGCTATAACATGAGTCAGGCGTCGCGAGCGAGAACAATGTAAGTCGAAAAGATAGCTTACGGTCCGGCCAGCAAGAGAACATTACTCGCAATGAATATGCCTAGATTGTCCCATTGACCATAAGCGCCAATGACCCGCATAATGAACCCTGCTGTAAAGAGTATAGCGGACCATGGCAACAAGCCTGTCACCTTCCACGACTTGTATTTGCTGTGGCCCAGGAATCAGTGCTTGTCACGTCATCTTGGAGGCAGCTATGTCATACAAACATTGATAGATGTGTGTGAGACCGGACGCAGTAAAAAGCAATGCGAAGGCAATAGGAGCACCCCTATTTGGTGCATAGTACCAGTAGCTTCCTTCTTCTACATGATGTTAGAGATTGTGGTGGCCATACTGAGGAGTGGCCGAACTGGACTTACGGTATGGTGATCTCGCTTCGAGCATGATGGTGCTTGTCTATGGAGAGGCACTCGCTTCTGACAAGAAATGCTAGAAGGGGAGAAGTAAGAGAAATTTGATGACTTGACTCGCAGCCTTTGGATTGTCACGAAGTTGACTGCGTCTAAAATATGGAAGATATGGACCATAGAACCCTTATATATGCAAAGCCCTCATGATCTCGCATTCATTGTCGCAACCCACGGCACTTTGGCGAAAACGAGTTGCCTAAATAGGTGTAGCAGCTTGTCCGGTAAAGGCAAATAAACTGCAGCATTTACATGCAACTGACATTTCTGGTTCGGCTGGAGCAAGGCGCAGCCATGCCCAATATCTGATTTGTGGCTTATAGCCTTTCGTTTATGAAGCATACTCTGCATGCCAGGAGTACTAGTCACTACCTGCCAAGTATGATGACCTTAATGTAGAATACGAAGTCGGTCAAGTTGGGATGATAGTATCCATTTGCTCAGGCTGGTACTTGATCCAACGAAGCTCGATGCTGATTCGAAGTTAGGCGAGTACGAGCCAAGCTGAGGCATGTGAGTAAAGCCAAGCCTCGAACCAACGGTAGGTAGCCTTGGCTGATGGATCAAAGGCATCGCGAGGTTTGGGAGCATGCAGTAGGCAGCCCGACAGACTTTCATGCTCTTAATTGGACGGACGAATTGATGGATGGTGGAAAACGTTGGAAGGTACGGAGTGCTGGGACAGGACAGAAACAGATGGATGCCATCTTCAGGCAGCCTGAAGAAGATGGCATCTGCGGGTGACTTCCTTTTTAGGACATGTTGTCTGGACAACCATGAACTAACCCGATCAGGAAAGAACTGTGTCGTGCCTTCTAAATGTGGAAACCATCCAGAGCTGTTATCAAGTCGTCACTTTTGCTTTTGTTCTCGACCTCATCTCACTTAACGGCGTCCTACCAGCACCTACAGGGTATCGCCATCATGAGTTCGACGACAAAGCCTTCACAAGCCTCCCTTTTCCAGGTCTATCTGCGACTTCGCCCTCCCATTTCGCAGCACCAGGATGCTCATGCTGAACGTTGTCTGGTGATTGAGGCTCCGGAGGAGAAGACCAACAATGCTGAGAGCGACGGAGCGCCCCCGGCTTTCATTCCAACACACATTATACTACAGCCACCAAATGATGCCAGGAAGCGTGCGGTCGAGAAATTCGGTTTCACCAAAGTTTTCGAGGAGTCAGCTTCCCAACTGACTGTCTTTGAGGATACTGGGCTGGAATCGTTGGTCAGAGGTGTACTGCTCGAAGGCAGAGATGGGCTAGTTGCCACACTAGGCGTTACAGGGAGTGGAAAGGTGCGGACGATAAAAGACCGGTATGTGATTGTGTGAAAGAAAGATGCTAATGGCTTTGGTGGACAGAGTCACACAATTCTCGGCTCAAAGACACAGAGAGGTCTTACCCAAATGAGCCTCGACGTTATTTTCCGGTCCCTGGATTCAACAATTAAACCACCCGACAACTCCATTAGCCCAGTCCTCCTGTCCTCAGTAGCCGCGTCAGATGCCTCGGAAGCTCAGTTGTTCACAGCGCAGACATTCCTCGAAGCGGTATATGGCGATTGGGGTGGCGATCGTGGAAGAAACTCTCGAGCACAAACCCCCATGAGCTCCTCTAGGGCCCAAACACCCATGACGGTACGGAACCCCATTCCTTGGAGCCCATTGCGAGGAACTCCAGCATTGCGTCCATCGACTCCCAGACGCGTACCCAAATCCTCTAGCGGTCCCTCAACCCCTCATTCCCCCCTCAAAGGAGTCCCCCCTAGTCCGCGCCGCACTTGCCGTGCTGGTCCAACGGATCTCTTCAAGGAGAGAATCGGCCGGATCATCCTCGGTTTCCCCAAATCACCTTCATTCACCTCCACAGATAGGGCCCAATTCGATTATGCTAAACAATCTTCTCATATTCAGGAACCGACTCCTGCCCTAATCTTCCCTCGGCGCCATATGCCTCAAAGGCCCAGCGTTTTGCCTCGTTTGCCGGATGTTAGCCACTTGACCGTCGAACTAAATCACAATTCCGAATACATCGTCCTAGTTTCGATGTACGAGGTGTACAACGACCGTATTTTTGATTTACTTTCGCCCGCTATCGTACCCGGTCAAGGAAGTGCAATGTCGCGCCAAGGAGCAAACGCCCAAAAAGACCGTCGGAGACCCCTTCTGTACAAGTCGACCGAAGGATCGCCTGACAGAAAGGTTGTTGCCGGACTTCGCAAGATTGCCTGTAGCACGTACGAAGAGGCTTTGGCAGTCCTCGAAGTCGGCCTGACCGAGCGCAGAGTTACAGGGACTAGTGCTAACAGTGTTAGTTCCCGGAGCCACGGATTCTTCTGCCTTGAAGTTAAGAGGAGGATGAGAAATAAGAGGACAGGAGAAGAGACATGGATTGGAAACACGCTCACCGTCGCAGATCTGGCTGGTAAGTCACTGAGCAACAGCTTGTCACTTCATTTGTAACAAGGAGAGTGTAGGTTCCGAGCGGGCGAGAGCTGCAAAGACCGCGGGATCTACCCTGGCGGAAGCCGGTAAAATTAATGAAAGTCTCATGTATCTGGGCCAATGTTTACAGATGCAAAGTGAAATCCAAGAAGGGAAGGTAGGACTCGTGATGCCGATAATGTCTCTTTCCTCGCTGACTTGGGATAGACTGCTCTGGTACCTTTCAGGCAGTGCAAGCTGACGGAGTTGCTGTTTTCGAACTCCTTTCCCTCCTCAAATCAGATGCCTGGTTTCAACCGCCACCCGCAGAAAGCGATTATGATCGTCACTGCAGATCCATTGGGTGATTATAATGCGACATCGCAGATCCTACGTTATTCCGCCTTGGCTCGCGAAGTAACCGTTCCCCGAGTGCCATCTGTTACCGAGTCTATTCTGTCGAGCACCCTGGGCTCCTGCAAAGGAGCTGCCAGTGGACGCAACTCGCCCAATTTAGCCTCAAGTGAAGAGCTTGAAAAGGCAGCTGCCGAGATTGCACGACTAGCCACTGAAAATGAGACCTTGGCCGTGCGACTCGCAGAAGAGGAGATCATGAGAGCCGACCTGGAGATGAGACTCAAATCAAGTGAGGAGAAGTGCCTGTTCATCGAACAGGAGGTGCGAGAGGAATGCTGGGCCGAGATGGACGAGCGAATGG